ACTGTGCTTGGGTTAGTTTCCCGAAAACTTTCATGGAGGTCTAGAGAGAACGGTGCTGAGGTTAATTTCCGGAAAAAGTCATGGAGGTCTAGAGAGAACGGTGCTTGGGTTAGTTTCCCGAAAACGTCATGGAGGTCTAGAGAGAACAGTGCTGGAGTTTGTTCACGGATGACGTCATGGAGGCCTAGAGAGAACAATGCTGTTTATTCCCGGATGATGTCATTGAGGCCTAGAGAGAATAGTGCCAGTTTGTTCCCGGACGACATCATGGAGGCCTAGAGTGAACGTTGCTGGAGTTTGTTCCTGGATGACGTCTTGGAGGCCTAGAGAGAACAGTGCTGGAGTTTGTTCCCGGATGACGTCATGGAGGCCTAGAGAGAACAGTGCTGTTTGTTCCCGAATGACGTCATGGAGACCTAGAGAAAACGGTGCTGGTATTGTTCCCGGGTGACGTCATGGAGGCCTAGCGAGAACAGTGCTGGTGTTTGTCTTCGGAAAAAGCAGAGGGAGACGGTTGCGAAAGTGGATCTAGACGTCGAAGAAGCCTTCCATGAAAGAAGATAGGGTTGGAGGACTGCCTAGAGAAAGATAGACTTCCAGGCGTGCTGTGAAGAGAAGGACTTTCTATAAAGAACCTGGTGACTGATGATGAAATATACACTTGCGTGGTGAGATGCTTGCTAGTGAAGTGGTCGAGACGCTTAGTTCGTGCTTCACCCCTTGAGCGTACAATTTTAGACTTTTTCCCTTTAACGAAGATCAATAGGGGTCGTTGCTGTGAGTGACAGTAGCTCTGCAGTGAGAGAGAGAGAGAGAGAGAGAGAGAGAGAGAGAGAGAGGGGGGGGGGAGATAAAGAGAACTGTACACTGTACAATGGCGCAATAAGGTTAGTCATGTCGCTCTTACATACATTTTATGTTTAGACTTCAAAACAATGTGTTCCAATAAACTTATTTAATGCATGAAACATAAATATTACAAGTGAGATGCTTTCAAAGTGTAAAAAAAAAAGTATATCTTATTTAAGACATTGAAACGAATGATGGACGGTTGAGCAGCGAAATTAATAAACAGCATGTTAAAATATTTAAGCACTGTGGGTTGTCTTGATCTCAATAAAAGTGCAACAAGCCGATGAAAGAATAAGTGGGTATGCCATATTGAGTGTTGGGTACCGGGTGTAGTCTCGGGAAAGTAAAGGCGGCCGGCGTGATGCTGACCACATCACCCATCTTGTGCCGATTGGTCTATAAAATATAGGTCTAACCCTATATGCCCTATACGCCTGGTGGCGTGGAAAAGGGTCCTTTACTTATTTTTTTCACTTTTAGTTATAATTGTAAAATAAACAGAAACGGAAGCCATTTGCAGACGGGATGTTTGCTTTTTCAAATTGATAGCATAAAATATAATGGGAGGCAAACATGGCCCGTATAATATTTTTTAGATAGGTCGTGGAAATGAGAATACTTGAATTTTCTTCTTTTCGTTTCCTGTTTCCATATTCTATTTTGTGCCGTTAGGGTAACCAGGCCAGACCAGTCTTCCCGACAGGTTTGATTTGCATGAATAGCTGTGCCAATAGTGTGCCTATCAACTATTAAATAATATTTAAAAAACAAAACAAATAAGAAGAGAAGGAGAATGCAAAAGAATGTGCCGATGAGGAGGAGGATGGTGACTATGGCTGCTACACAAAGAAAACTTTGGGAGAAGTAAACAATAAAGCCATCTTACAACTTTTCTAGACGAAGGGGCAGAGGGATCCTCAGTTAGGCGTCAGCCTCGTTTAATTGCACAATAATAATATACTAAATGTCAAGTACATCATTACCATTATGTTCTGTGATGATAACCATAGGCTGTTATCTCATACGATCACCAGTCTCGGATCAGGCCAGGGTGTTTGTATCAAAGAAACCATATGGCTAGACAATCTAATTGTTTATTGCTTTGCCTTTCCTGTGCTCAGTTTCCATCAACTTTACCAGTTGTTACCAGTTTCTCAAGTCGATTTGTTTCTTGTTAACATGTCAAAACAAGGACTGTTTTTGGATAATCTTTCTAATCAGTTTACGACTTGCATCTGTCTCGAGGAGGATGCAGTCGTCTGTTTTTAGTCATTGCATGGTATTTACATTCTTGTCTTAAAAGACCATATCACAGCTACAATTGAATAATTTTCATCTTGTCTGCTCATGTCCATGACTCACATGCATACAACAACACAGGTTCGAAATAGTTATTTAAAACACTATAGCTGACATCTTATAGGTGAGTGGCTTTTGCATCGAATCCCCATGACGTCTGATGTGTTCATACTAACTTTGTATAACACAGAACGAAAGTACAGCATTGTGACGAGTCCAGTCAAACCCTAGAAGGAGCCACATTACAATGATGAAGCTAATGATTATGATAATAAAGATAATGATGATCATGATGATGATGAAGTTGATAAAAATGGTGATGAAGATGATGATGAAGATAATGATGAAGATGATGATGAAAATCATAAAATGGTGATCAAGATGATGATGAAGATGATTATGATAATAATGTTATGATAATGAAGATGATTATAAAGATGACATAGCGGGAGAACAAGTATTTAAAAAAAACAAATTGTGTTTGTTTGTTTTGGCTGTATAATGTATCAATGTGAAACGAATACATTCAGACCAGAATACACAGCCCTTTACAAGCATGACGTAACGGCCGACTAGTTATAAGCTTTATCTTCGAAGTCTAAGTGTATCAGTCTGAGAGAAGAGAAACCAACAGCTCACTTGCAAAAACGCCAGATCTATAAAACCGAAGCGCAAGCAAAACTCAAGCTTTAGAACAAGATTTGAGTCCAGAAAAGGACCAACAACCATGACTTTCAGCCAGTGAATGCACAGACAAACCTGAAGAAGAAAGTAATACGACATTCTCTAGCTGGTAAGGGTTATACCACTAGTCGATACGTTACGTTCTCATATGAGATGTTACGTTGATACAACTGTCATAACTGAAATCGTGAAATACAGGTTTAGGTGAATGTAAACAGGTTATCCTATCGCGAAACAACAGGAATAAAACTGAACACCAAAGGGAATTATCAATGTGTTTCAGAAATCAACCCAGATCTTAGAACGACGAACTTTACATTACAGTTTAAAAAAATAAAAATAAAGTAAAGGACCCTTTTCCATGCCTTTAGGTAATAGCTCGATTAGACCTATATTTTATAGACAAATCAGCATAAGATGGGTGATGTGGTCAGCATCAGGCCAGTCGCCTTTACTTCCCGGGACTGCACCCGGTACCCACTCAAGGCTAAGTCCACCTGGGAGCCAAGGTCATTTCTGAAGAAAAAAAGTCTGGCTCCGCTAGGGAGCGAACCCACGACCCTCTGATCGCTTACATTATAGGCTCAGGGCATTCACAAGCCGGGATCTTTTTTTTTTTTTAATTGTATACTGTCTCCACCATAAAGACAGACTTCAGTGTACCTAATGTTGTCATCCTGGAGGCCAGACTTCCTTACATGGCAAAGGTCGTGTGTCGCATCAGCAAAGCACAGAGAATGGTTCTTTTCTTTCTCTATATTATGTCCACGGCAGAAGAATAAGTTATAAAAAGGTGCCCTAAAAGAATCGATGATCGATTTTATCCCACTTGATTTCGTTTCACGTATCTGGGTCTCCCCCCCCCTTTTGTGTGTGTGTGTGTGTTTGTGTGTGTGTGTGTGTGTGTGTGCATAGTGGCTGCTTAACCCCCAAGGAGGTCGCACAACGCCAGAAATTCCGAAGCTTCCACGATGAAACTTGATATTTCGGAAACACATGCACCGTAGAATCAAAAAATGGAGTCTGATTCCAAACCAGTTAACTTCAAACCACGAGGAGGGTCTAACCACTTGGCCATAGAGATCCCTTACCTAATTAGGTCTAAGTTAACTAATACAATTTTACACAGTGACATTTGAGGAAAGGGGCAACAAACACGAGCGTGACTAGAATGTCATGAGGTGGATTCTAGTTAATCAATCAGTCAATCGACATCGGGAAAGGCCAGCAATCACTAGACTCACTGTGATAAATCAATAATGTATTGACCGAAACCTTGGAGTGAGCTGAACCTCAATGATAAATGACCTGACAGTTAGTGTGAATGTATGCTGCTTGGGGCCATGACATACTTTACTCACCCTTAGAATTTTTTATTATGGTGGGGGAGGGGGGAGGGTAATCCTGCCCCCCCCCCCCTGCTTTTTTTTTCATGAGCGCCTATTTCTCCAGTACTGTCTACTGGGACATTTGCACCTATTTACTCAGCGAGACGCCAATGTGAAGAGAATCAACAGAGGCAATTCTCAAACACCGCTGTTCAACCATATATCTCCGAAGTACATAGGTCTATTCACCAGCAGGCGATTTGGTAGCAAACCATTTTATTTTTGACTATCGTAGAACTTCGACCGTTTAAAAAGCAATGGCAAACTAATAAAGGTAAAACTTCCTAAAACAACTCATCAACAAACGTCTGATGTGGTTTGCAATGTCATGAAAAGGTTCAACTATCTTGTATTACTAACTACAATGTCAAGTGACCTCTTCACAAGATGGCACACTTTATGTATCGTGCCAGATCCATACTGATTGAACACCTGGACACTCGAGATGTAAGAGGTAAACATATCACACAGCACCCTTCACTTTTCGTAACATTATTTGATAATCATAAATCAGTCGACCTGGAAGCCATTTAAAAAAAAATTCCTTTAATAAATTAGTCCCACATTAAACACCATGGAATAACCATAAAGCGTATTATATGGCTTGAAAGCTTCAGGATAAGTTTGAGGGAGGCAGGAACGAGTGAAATACGTGAACAGTAGCAATACGAATGTTTCGAAGAGGGTCTTTATCAACGAACCAAACACTAAAACTGAAAGAATATCATAGTTCGACATTTAATACCAAAGCTCTTTTTACATTTCCTGAAAGGCATTTCACGGACAGCTGCCCACAGAGACGTCCAAAAAACTGTGTTTACAACCATTTGCTTGATTTTGAAGGTCTGTTATATATGCTGCTGTCCCGTTCCTGCCCTGATGCGGGGTGGTCTTTTTTGCCTTAAAGCATTTAATGTGGTCTGAGTGATCTACACACTGAAGCAGGCTACTAGAGTTACACAACTTTGCTCCCGCATTCATTGCAGGATTCTTGCTGTTTTGGCTTGTGGTGCCGAAGGAGAATAGTTTGCTGGAGAATGTGGACTTTGTTTTGTGAGGACAAGATAAACGTTTCCCGGAGATTATGTTAGCTATGTCTTCTTTGGAAAAACCTGTGACTGTAAAGTTGTACATCTTCATGTTGTGATATGTTGGCCATCTGGTCACTGTGTCCGCCCCACGTAAGGAGAGATATATATCATCTTTGCTATAAACAGATGAGTTATCGATGGCCTGTTTGTACTTATACAGGTGTGTGTCCGTTGGTGTACGCTGTAAATTAGAATATGAACGGACACCGGAACAATTAGGCTGGCTTTTCTTACCAGCTAGCATATGTCCGTTTCCTTTCGGAGCAAGAGATTCTGGAATATTTTCCAGTAAAAATGGAATGTTGGCAGGACAGGTGCTAAAGTTTGCTGTACAAGAAGAATGTGTTGATATGTTATCTTGTTCCTCATGTCGTGGTGTTACTAGTCTCTGTGGACTTGTCAGCGAAGGTAGGAGCAGGAAGCTAGCACTGTTCAATATGGCTAAGGAATGAGGTCTAGCAACTTCAGAATAGATAGAGGCTGAGTTTACTCCGTGTTTAGGCGATCTTTTGAAAGGCAATAATTGTCCCGTAGACGACAGCATCTTTTTTGTTTTGGAACTGTTCATTGAAATAACAGGCGGATGATGTGTAGAATCCAGCGAATAGTAAGCTCCATTTAAATCGCTGGATACAGAATTATCAAGACCTGATAAAAATGTTTTAAACATTCTCTTTGGTTTGGAGCTCGTGTCAATAAATGGTTCAGATAAACCCCTACATGTATTCCCGAAGTACGGCTGTTCAACATTGTCTTTTCGAGCAGCACATTCGCACTTACAACACTTGAACGTGTTGTCAGGGAAATCACAACAATTTGGTTTTACATCGGTGTGCTGAGATCGGTCATGAACTAGATCAGGTATTAGATTACACACACTGCGGCTTCTACAATCGCAATCACAATAAGAACAGGCAGACATTAGCCGTGCATTGCTGTCTGAGCTACCGCAACTGCAGTCCTGTTTCTTGGTCTGTTCACAATCCGTTGGAGCCACATGCTTACCCATATTTGGATCGTTGATACAGCATGGTCCTGCCAAATGGGTCTTTACGAGACTAGAAGCTTCGTATGTAAAGCTTTTGTTGCTGATGATATAACGCATCTTAGGTACCTTCGTGGATGCTTGTCGAGGCACTTGTTGCACTGCATTAATGCAAGCCTTCAGGCGCCGAATGATCCTCAGCAGCGAGTTTTTCCTGAAGATCACATACAACCAGGGATCGAGGATTTGATTGCAGCTGGCCATGCGGATAACCTTCAGGTCCAGAACCTTGTTGTTGGTGCCAGCGAACTGCATGATCAAAATGTGTACCTGCAGATAGAGTACATAGAATGAGGTGAGCCTATGTAAATTCATGGTTACAGGCTTAAGTATCGCGCGTATTAATTGTGTCAGTTTGTTTACAGAGAAAGGGATGATGGCGGTAGTATTAGTCCCAATAGTAATAGATGTAGTGTTCTTTAAATTAATAGTAGTAGTAGTAGTAGTAGTAGTAGTAGTAGTAGTAGTAGTAGTAGTAGTAGTAGTAGTAGTAGTAGTAGTAGTAGTAGTAGTAGTAGTAGTAGTAGTGGTAGTACTAGCATTAGTAGTTGTAGTAGTGGTAGTAGTAGTAGTAACAGTAGTAGTGGTTGTGTTAGTAGTAGAGGTGGTAGTAGTGGTAGTAGTAGTAGAAGTAGTAGTAGTAGTATTAGAAGTACTAGTAGTAGAAGTAGTAGTAGTAGTAGAAGCAGCAGTAGCAGTGGTAGCATTAGTAGTAGCAGTAGTAGGAGCAGCAGCAGCAGCAGCAGTAGTAGTAGTAGTAGTATCAGTAGTAGTGGTGGTAGTAGTAGTAGAAGCAGTTGCTGTTATTCTTGCAACCGCCACGGCAGTAGTGTTTCAATTGAAGGAATTATCAAGCTTCTTTCACGTACGCGTCGTTCCGTTCCTGAGTCAAAGTCTGCAGAAAAAAAATTCATTAGGATCGTCGAGGGGGCTGCAGAGTTCGTACTTTGCATGACCCTCTCGGCAGGTGGCCAACCGTCATGGGGAGAGAGACTGAACCACAATGAACAACTGTTCGACTTTAACTAACGTACGTTTTTACCTCTGGTAGACATACATCGATACAGACACAATAATAAACAGACTTTGCTTCAACAGACAAATACAAAGTCATAAATATATAAGTTAAAAAAAAAAATGCAGAGACCGTGGTGGTTTAGTGGCTAGACGCTCAGCTGCCGGATTCTAAGGTCGTAGGTTCAAATCCTGACAGAGCTGGTATTTTTTTCAAAAAATAACTTTGGCTTCCAAATGACCCAGGCTGAAATGCCTACAAGGTAAAGTTTTAGGAAGTAAAGGCGGCCGGTGTAAATGTTAAATACACCGAGTGCCGAATGGTCTCATAAATATAAGCCAACCCCTATATGTCCAATACGCCTGAAGACGTGCAAAAGGGTTTTTTACTTTTTAAAACAAAAATGCCCTAGTATGAAAATGGCCTATAATGCTCACTGTTTTTTTTTTTACTAGACAAAATATTGCTCCGTGGGTTTTGTGGTTAAAATCATGCCGGTCAACTTTGCTTCCCATGAATTTACCGGTACCTTGAGCCTGCGAACCAAGGTCATTTTTATTTTTTGTAATTCTACTCTTTCAAAATAATAATACGTAGCGAACAACAGTGGGACAGAAATCCCTTGTGGTGTAAAGATAAATGTCCAGATGATAACACAGACGTAGTGTTGTTTGCTCATTAGGATCAGGTATTTGTTCCAGGACAAATGTTGTCTGGCTGGGATCGTGTGCTACCAAGCACTAACATCCAGATCTAAATGTCAGACATCCGGCGGTGACACTAATGACATCTTCATCGCCAGTGACATCATGGCCTGTTTACCTAATGGCCTACTGGTAATGCCAGTCTTTCTGACCACAGATTTGATCACCGATGCTCTGCTGATGAACGCATGGTTGACGTTTCGCTCGCACTGGGGAGTAACATTTTATGAAACAATTCTCATATGGGAGAGCAAGATTTTATGAAACAGTCGCTCGCACGGGGGAGTAGCATTTTATGAAACAATCGCTCGCACTGGGGAGTAACATTCTATGAAACTGTTGCTCGTATGGGGGAGCAAGATTTTATGCAACAGTCGCTCGCACGGGGGAGTAGCATTTAATGAAACAATCGCTCGCACTAGGGAGTAACATTCTATGAAACTATTGCTCGTATGGGGAAGCAAGATTTTATGAAACAATCGCTTGCACAGGGGAGCAAGATTTTATGAAACAATCGCTCGCAGGGAGGGGGGGGGGGGAGCAAGATTTTTTTGAAACAATCGCTCGCACGGGTAGCAATATTTTATGAAACAATCGCTCGCACGGTGGAGCAAGTTGATAGTGGTGGTGGTAGTGTTGATGATGATGGTTATGATGGTTGTGTTGATAATGGTGGTTATGAAAGTGGTGTTGATGATGGTGGTTATGATGGTTGTGTTGATAATGGTGGTTATGAAAGTGGTATTGATAATGGTGGTTGTGATGGAAGTATTGATGATGTTGGTTATGATGGTGGTGTTGATGATGGTGGTTTTGATGGAAGTGTTGATGATGGTGGTTATGATTGAAGTGTTGATGATGTTGGTTATGATGGTGGTGTTGATGATGGTGGTTATGATGGTGGTGTTGATAATGGTGGTTATGATGGAAGTGTTGATGATGTTGGTAATGATGGTGGTGTTGATGATGGTGGTTTTGATAGAAGTGTTGATGATGGTGGTTATGATGGTTGTGTTGATAATGGTGGTTATGATGGTTGTGTTGATAATGGTGGTTATGATGGTAGTGTTGATGATTGTGGTTATGATGGTAGTGTTGATGATTGTGGTTATGATGGTGGTGTTGATAAATGTGGTTATGATGGTGGTGTTGATAAAGGTGGTTATGATGGTGGTGTCACATATCACTCCTGTCGCGTGCCTAATGTAAGGATTTCTCCTTCAGAACCAGCAGCACTCAGAGATAATTTTGTTGAGTCGTTTGGCTCGTATTGGTCTAAGGGATTCCCCGTGGCCAATATACGATCAACTTATCTCTGGAGTAGGGCAACTCAAGTATTGGCACTACAAAATATATCAGTATATAAATACAATATTTCTAGGCACACTTGGCTGGACACCCCCACTACTTACTAAAGAAAGCCCCCAGGTTATGATAGTTCATTATCATAACCATGTTAACACATATAATGAAGATACATACACATACAACTGCTAAACACTTAAGAAGGTGACATAGAGAAACCTAAGTCAACCATGAAAATGAATGCATGTATTTAGTATAATATCTGTACAAAAACAATTGAAGTGAATTCCAGCTATCAGTGAAAGAATTTCAGCACTAATGTCTAGATCCTAAGGAAACTAGGTAGACAGCCGGTCCTGGAGGTGACTATATGTCATCATGGGAACCAATGGAGCTGTGAGGAAACAAACAGCAAATGAGCATCAGACTTAGCTTCTGTCCTTTCTGCCTATGATGCCTCCTTCAGCTCCGGATGATTCGACTGTCTTTGACTCTGGGAATTCTGCTCCACTGGATCAAGTAGCAAGAGTACTTCACTGTACAGCAACTGTACTGGTATCTAGCATGTCTATATCACCAGTAAGGACACACAATGTCTTAGAGCCACATTACTCTGGCACTGGTAGCTGTTTGAGGCACAATCTCCCCCATTTTTGGAGATGTCAGGAACCTTCACAGGTGTTAGCTGGTGGGTAACAAGTTGGTTCTGGTGGTAGGATTGGTGGGTGGATGTTGTTAAGACTGTGAATCTTCTGCCAGCTCTTCAGAAAATATACATCCCAAGCATATGTAAAACTGAGATCTTTCCAGATTGCCTTGAAAATTTAAAGTATACAGGCACAGATTAACACATCTGGAGGCTTGAGAAGCTGGCAAGGAGAATGGCGTCAGTTAGACATTTCAGGCGTTGGTACAAAAGAAGTTCCTTGTATACTGGGGCAAGGAGTAAATCGGTTTCCAAGAAACCTCAATTAACTCCCTAAATATATCCCCAAAAGAAATACATTTAAAAGTGGAGTTTAGTTAAAGTAACCAGAAAAGGCAGACATAATAATGTTGTCCAATACAGGCCTATATATATAGATATAAGGGACTATATATTTCTGGGCGAGTCCAAGTTTGAATTTTGTGCAGATTACAGGTAAGACAGGTTATCAGCCTTACAAACCGATGTGTAATGACTATCATTTCACGACAGGTGGTGTTGATGGTGGTGTTGATGATGGTGGTTATAATGGGTGTGTTGATAATGGTGGTTATGATGGTGGTGTTGATGATGGTGGTTATAATGGGTGTGTTGATAATGGTGGTTATGATGGTGGTGTTGATGATTGTGGTTATAATGGGTGTGTTGATAATGGTGGTTATGATGGTGGTGTTGATGATTGTGGTTATGATGGTGGTGTTGATAAATGTGGTTATGATGGTGGTGTTGATGATAGTGGTGAGGATTGTAATGTTTATAGTTCTGATGATGATAGTGTTGATAATCATGGTGATGGTGGTAGTATTGATGATGGTAGTAGAGTTGATTTGGTGTGTAAAATGGTGTTAATGATAGTGACGATGGTAATGTTGATATCTTTTGAGGTGATAGTGTTGCTGGTGGCGATGGTAGCTTATTGCAAAAGAAAAAAACCCATTTCGCACGATTAGTGTATCGAGCCAGATCGCATCTGTGCGTACTTATCGGAAATAGATGAGTGTGACGTCAATATCAGCCAGTGACTTTTATTTTCCTGGAGTTGCGTTCAGTTCAGGAATGGTCGCCATTGGAGCTATGGTACGCCTGTGTTTTTACAGCTGTGCGATCATCCGATACATATTTGATGTTACAGCTGTGCGATCATCCGATACATATTTTATGTTACAGCCAGCCATATTCTATCATGTGCTGCAGAAGAGTATATTTCTCCTATGATCTCGAGCTTTTGTCTGTTAATAAAATAGACCCAACCGTACGGGCCACACGCTAGCCTGAGAGTCCAATGCTCGTGAGCTCGAATCCGCCAAAAAGGATGATTGTTGTTAACATTTACCTTAATCCCAGGTTGACCATGCTTAAAATTGTTGCAGGTAATATACTGGGTGGTAAAATAGGGCAAAGCTCGTGCTTGATGTCTCATTCGCATCAGTTGGTTATCCGTTCTGCTGGGAGAGACCGCACTTTATAAGACAAAAACTGAGCAATGAAGTCAGCATGTTCGCCTTAAAACCATTAGTAAAGATGAATTTAATCTTTATCC